CCACTAAAATTTATTATTATTGAAATAATTAAAAAATTTGCAAGAGTATTCATCATCATGATACCAATGGCGATTAGCTCGACTAATCCAACTTTATTCGACCAATCGAATTTGATTTAGTTTAAGTGCCTGAGGACTTTTCAAGGGTGGGTTATAGTTTAAGTTTTCTTAAGAGAACAAGCTTCAAATAAGATAATAATAATAATAATAATAATAATAGTTGATTAAAAAACTCATAGAAATTTAAATTAAAAAAATAAATAAATGTTTGAAAGTCTCTATCCTCAAAATAAAATAAAAAAACCACAAATATTTTTGCAATGACTTTGCTAATTAAATTTATTTTAATATTGTATGTTTATATATTTTGAATAAAAAATAATATGATATAATTTCAATTTTCTCTCAATAAGATTGATGTTTATATATTGCATGACCCATGTGTCTCCAATCTAAAAGATAAAAAAGACAGGCAAAAAATTATTCATTATTTAGTGACGGTTAAATTGCATTTTTTTTGTTGGTTGAAATTCAAGTAATTAAAAATGATTTGGATGATAATCATATAGTGTCCTCCAATTCTATCAGTCTCTTAATTTTTTTTAGCTATTTAAATGCTTTAGTGGTGTGCTTATGACTTCAGTGGAAGTGATAATATCGCTCTTCATTATTTGAATTTAATTTCAATGGACTTGGCCACTCAGCACTCTGAGATGGCCATTAAGATATTAGCTTGGGATATGTTGAGCGATGTGTACTTCTGTCGGGGCTTATATCACTTGGTCGAGGGGGAAGTCATGATTCTCGTGTAATTCCCTCTTTTTATGTTGAGATAACTTATTACACTTTTTGTGCATATTTGCACTTGTCCATGGGCTACTCGAATTGCTTTAGCTAGGTGTTAATGGCCTTATCAGCTGATATTTATGCTTATACATAGTAGATCATGTCAGTATAAGAGTGAATCACATCCTACATCAACGATGAATAAAAGGGCCTAACATGGAGTCCTCTTAGGAAGACCCCTCTTAATAGCTCAGGATTTGCTCCTGGGATTTGATGAGCTTCAAAAGTGAACCTTTGGAAGCACTCTTTGAGTGAATCTTCTTTATTCTGACAAATTTTCAAGAGATGAGAAGATTCATTGACAATTCTTTGATTTATAATGAATTGTTCAACAATGAGTCTTGAAAGCTCGGTGAAGGTGTGGATGGCCTCTCTTAGAAGAATTGAACCATGTGCAAGCTTGTTTTTTGAAGATAACAAGATAGAGGAATGCATCTGATGCATCTGAGGCTTGTTGAATATTCATGATGGATTTGTAATGATTCTTGCATTCGTAAAAGTCTGACACCCCATCATAAGAGTCTATGTTTAGCAGCTCAAAGCTTGTTGGAATGGGATGTTGAAGGATAACATAAGTTATAAACAAGGACTCCTAAAAGTTTTGATGAAGAGGTAGTTGACTCTAACCTCTTAACGGAAATTCCTCTGGATAAAGCATCACAATTCGTCATGTAGGGCATTGAGAGGGGTGTCAGGGAGGCAGGGTTGAGCCATGTTCCTGATGAATACTAGAGGAGCGCGGGTTGGTAGGGCTACACGAGCTAGATGGGTAGTGCTAGCTATGTCGTTGAGATTGACATCCTGATGCGGCAGAGTCGGGTCTTTATGCGCTATGCCAACACTAGCTGTTGAGTGCCCCATAGGAGCTAAAGGATTTCATTTTAAGATCCCATTTTGTGAACGCAATCTTCTAGTGACGGACTTGATGGACCTTTGCTAGCAGGGTTACACCTATCAAGGCTGAAAGATATAGAGGCATGGAGTCCCTATTTCAAAGATTAGTCCTGTGAATGATGAATGTAGGAGTGCGAGGTTCCATTGTTGTGATTGTTACACCTATTGGCCATTGAACAAGTGACCCAGAGCTTACGATTATGGGATTGGTTCCTATAGATGGTGCCAAAATATTGTGTGTTAAAAAATCTGCAGTGGTAAAGTGAGAGAGTTTTATTTCCAAATTGCACGAAGGAGAATGCGAGATTACAAGATTATAGAGAGTTTTATTCCCACACAAACATATAAATAAAAAGACAATAGTAGACGCCATATTTTTTATATGAAAAATTCATAAATAGGAAAAACCATGGGACATGACACAACTAAAATTACTCAATTATGTGAGTGTTGATTATGATTTGTTATCCCCTAATTTGGAGAATGCGAGATTACAAGATTATGAGGGTATGATAGAAAATATTATAGAGTGGGTATAGGATGTGTAGCGTTCAAACAGTTGTGGTTGAGTGGCAGCAGTTTGAAGGTGTTGGTTGGGCAGCGATGGTCCAATTATGGTGATTTGATGGAGACAATCTAATGGTGATAGTTCATCGACTATGATGCACAGACATGGACACGGCGACACGGATAAGAAACGACACGGGATACGTCAGTTATTGAAAATATAGGACACGGACACGGGTTGGACACGGTATTATAGTTTTTATATTTAAAACATAGTGTATAAAAATTAAATAAGTATAATTTTAAAAATAATATGAAAATAATAACTCATTTAACTAGAATTTGTGTTTAAAATGATTAGTATTAGGATGTTGAGAGTCAGACGTCGATGTCGTTTATCAGTCACCGAGAGAGGAGATGAAAATACCTTCACTGCAAAAAAGAAATGAAAATGAGAATATTCGATAATTGAGTATTAAGTACGGACGTTGATTTGGTGTTGTGGATAGAAAATAAGAAATTTAGTTTAAATCCCGCCAAATACAAGAAATTATATTTAAAAAAATTCATAAAATATTTAAGATACGCGTGTCCAATTTGTATTTAATATTTTTAATCGGACATGTTTTTGGCGTGTCCGACAAGTGTCGGAGGAGTGTCATGTCGGATACGGTGTTGGACACTGCACGCCTCTTTGAGGAGAAGTGTCGGTGCATCATAGTTCATCGAGCAATGGTCAGGTAGAGGTGATGGTTAGATGACTTGGTTAGGTGGCGGTGTTCAAACAACGGTGATCCAGTGACAACAGTTGTCTGATAGTGGTGATTCAATAACAACAATGGTCTAACAATTTATGTTGGGAAATGATAGTTATCCACGGATGTGGTCATGCAACGACAATCCGAGGATGGTGGTCGGATTGTGGCGATTTGATGATGGTGATTGGATGATTGCGGTTCAACGATGGTGTTCTAGCAATGGTGGTAGTCCAACAATTGTGATCAGGTGACGGCAGTCTGAAGAAAATAATTTAGTGACGACGGTGGTCAAGGGGCGGTGATTTGACAAAGTTAGTCTGACGATGGTTGCTGAGCAGTGGCTATGCAACAAGGATATTCCGATGATGAATGTGGTCCAATGATGGTAGTCAGGTGGTGATGCTCTGATACAGGCCATCGAGCGATGGCATTCTGATGATGGCAGTCATGTGGTGATCCGACGATGGCGATCAAGCAATTGTTCGACGGTGTGCTCAGGTGGAGTTCTAGGATTCTTTAAACCCTTGAGTTCTCTTGATTCTCTCACCAAGTGTCCTCATGTATAGAATGGAGGTCTATTTATAATTTTTTTAGAATGACATGCTCCGTAAATATAAAGAAAATCTTGAACACTTCGTTGGATGGTTCGTATTGTTGATTTCTTTTATTATAGACTATTCTTTTTATATTTTACTATCTTAATAATATCAAAATTAAGTGATTTTGGGCTCATTGAATTTGTCTCGTGCAATGCTCAATTTGACTAAAAGTATGCGAGATTTTGAGATCATTTGGTTATCCAATTAATGCCCCAAAGTTCTCAGTTATTCTTCAAGTACTTGATATCGTTTATTTGGACTCGAATTGAATCACCTTTGGCCTTACGGGCTCGTCTCATCGAGATGTTTGATTCAACTATAAGTTTGTTCAAATCGAAGTTCGGATGGTTTTAAATTTAATTCTCAAAGTTTTCAATTCAAATGTGCATGTTGATTTTTCATAACATATCAAGTCATACTCCAGATGGCATTTGAATCCCAGCTTGTGCATTTAAAATTCAAGAGCATGACAATATACATCCTCAATATATTTGTATTTTATGTTCTTTAAAGCATCATTAGTTCTCTAGATCACTGCAACCTTCTCTGACTAACCGTGGCTTGTTTTCAAATTTATTGAATCGCTTTGAACCAGGGACGGAACCACCTAGCCCCAAGGGGGGGCAATTGTCCCCCCTAAAAAAATTAAAAAATTATTTATTATATGAATATTTAGGTAATTTGTTCATTTCTATTCTTTATTATAGGAGTTTTTAGACAATTGCCCCCCCCCTAAAAAAATTAAAATACTATTATATTTAGGTGGTTGCCCCCTAGCAGAATTAAACATATTGTGTAGATGTGTTATTTATAAATTTGCCCCCCCTAAAAATCAAGGCCGGTTCCGCTGCTTTGAACCACATTTTGCAATATGGGAAAGATAAAACAACTGCATCTACTGAATTAAATTGTTATATCACAATCTGTCAATTAACAAACTTAACACCTTTGTAGAATTGTCTCATTGTAGGAATTTAATCATCTTTTCCCACTCTTATTAAGTTCAGTGGATATTTGTTCTTAGTTTTATAACAGTCTATTATTGCATTTCCTTTGCATAATCATTTCTTTACATATATGAATGAGATAATTCATAGATATTTGATGATATTTTTCTTTTTTAAAAAAAAAATTGACCTCTTTTTAAATGAGAAAAAAGAATGTTTTTTAAAAGTTTGTGGGCTATCGACCTTCTTTGTGCATTTTTTTAGTAACTCTTTATTATTAAACCACTATCTATGTACTTTTAAGATTATTATAACAATGAATTGTGCTTGATTTGTACTCCCAGGCTCTTAATTTATCTTTTCTCTGTTTTGGGCTAATTTAATTGTGGTTGAAACCTTACTTTACCTTCTCCTTTTATTGGGGATTGAGAGTCATCAACCTGATGCAGGTTCTTATTAACATGTTATCAAACCGAGGAACACTGGAGCAAGGGGCATGCTTGGATGCATTAATATCATTAATGCTGGAGTCTTCAGCTAACCAGTTGGTATGATTTGAATTAATTTTCTTGTAAAATGAGTAAGTTCACTTGAACTTCATCCTGATTCCGTCCATACCAAAGTGTACTAATGTGGAAAGCGAAAAAACATCACATGATTCGTGAGAAGTGCCTGGCATGTTATTGTAGACTCTTATCTGATCATGCATGATAGTTTTCTTCCAGGATTGGATCTAAATTACCATTTTAGTCACATATATAAAATGATGGAAAAAACGTTTGAATGAATGCTTTTCTATTGGCATTTGAAAGAATGGCAGATATTGTTCAGACAACAAAAAAAAGATTCTGTGTAAATATTGTGGCATGTTTAACATGGTGCACACCACATTATTGAGCGAAATGCATCTCTTTTCTGTCATTTTATATCCTACCTTTGAGAATTGGTATTGTGGAGTCTCCATATTTTCCTGATGCCTTAAATCCTGCCATTAGAAACTTTTCGTATCTTTTATGCTTGCTTGTGTGTTTTTTGCTTTTATTCCACCTTTCACCTTAAATCTCATCTTTTATGCTCTCTTTGTATGAGTACTCATAATCTAGGGTTGTTTGGGCTCTGGGACACTCCTTTTTTCCTACTTATTGCAACATACGGGTTCTTTGCTTCAAGTTTATATTTTCAGGAGATTATTTACACTTCACCATTCTCCTTTGCTCTAGGCTTTTGAGGCTTGCCGAGGCATTGAGAAGATTGCAGATCTTATAAAAGATGAGGAGGTGGATGAAGGCATAAGGTTTGTTGGCTTTTTTTCTTTTGCTTTCAATTATTTTTCCAACCCCCAACCTCTTTTTGGATCTGTTTCTTCGCTTTCAAATGAGGTTATTTTATATATAAAAATTTATGCACAGTTACAAGTTTCTATTTTATTTTTCAAACAAAGAAATTGATCTCCGTTGAGTAATTGAGCTGCAAATTTTCTCCTAACAAAAAATAATAAAGCGGCTTTAATCACTGGAACACTTATAAATAGTATAAACACTACAAAGGATACATCATAAAAATCATGGAAAGCGAGCCTTAATGTAGCTCTTTCCAAGTATGAACATTGTTGAAAATAGTGGAAACTTCAACTTTACTATTATATTTCATTGGTTAGGTCAGTCTATTATCTGATGAAATCGATTGATCAAAACCACCAGTAACTACTGAAGGCACCTTTTGAATAACAAGATTGCCTCTCCTTAACCTATTATAATGTGAATGGGATTCGGATCCTTTCCCATGACCAATATAACAGCATCTTATCCCGACATCTAATCCACTTTGGATAATCGGAATTAACTTTTAATTCCAGCCATGCAAAGAGAATTGGATTAGGAAACTGTCAACACAGGCAGTGCACAAACATTCCTTATAATTTTCGACTTACAAAAAAAAAAGTGTTTTCAATAATAAGTCTATTAAGATTACCACGGAAAAACACTATTCCTTCAATGCTTAAAACCTAACCAAATGTACATGACCATTCTCTTTTGCACATATCGGATCTTTTGGTTGTCGAGTTTGCTGTGAAAGAGTAGTAGTGCATGCTAGAAGATTTTGCATTAGCAGAGAAGGTGTTTTGAGTTTTTTTCTGAAATTTACACAAAAGTTCCATCCACTCATAAATAAAAGTGTTAAAGCTCACAAGAGGTACAAGAGCTTTTACGTGAAAATCCAAAGAAAAAGCCTAGAAGTTTGACCTGAAAAAAAGAGTCCATATAAATTGATGGCTACAAAAGTCTATCATTCCCTTTGGGATTACGAAGTTTGGATATCCGTTTTGATATCCTATGGGCATAGTGTGAAATGTTGAAGAAATAATAAGTCGGCATCAGTGTCAGTCGATAGCCAATAAAGATAGTTGAGCAACATAACTAATCAATAGCTGGCAAATGCCAGTGTTGGTTGACGATCAATAGTGGCAGTTGAACAATGAAAAGCACTAGCAGTCATTGGTGTTAATGTCAAGTAAGGACAATCGGGTGACCATGGATGTCAACAACGATCAAAGAGTAGAGCTTTAGAATTCCTCAAATCCAAGAACTCTTTGGACCAAAAGATTCCTTTTCAAATGCATAATGAAGGTATATATTTTTCAGTTTTGGCATTTTTATTATTTTTACCAAAATCGTAAATGATATATTACATGGACCAAGTAATACCCATTGAACATTTGATATATTTGGCTATTTGAGCACCTTTGATGGCATTAGAATTCAGTGATCTTGAGTTAATTAGATTCATTTTGTTGAGATGTATATTTTAACTATAATTTTGTTGAAGATAGTTCAAATGATCATGAACTTGACTTCAGAAGCTTCTTGTTTGAAAATTCATTGTGTTGAATTCGAACTTGTCCATGATTGACACCCGACCTTATTGGTAGGCCTAACTGAGTAAGCATGAGTACCCGGGTGAGAATAGAGAGTAAAGAAGGGAATTAGTGAGTGGAAGAGAATCTAAAGGTACTCAAAGAATTATTTCTTTTGAATTGGCAGAGTTTCCACTATCATAAGAAGGAAAAAGGTTGTCCATAACTGTTCTTCATGACCCTTTAATTATAGGGTCAAGAGGGCTACAAGAAATGCTTGATAAAGAAAAATTTTAAAAGGTACAACAATTCACAATCCACGTATGCAACGTTCTAGACACGTGTTATCCCCTAATCAGTTAAGGGGTAGCTGGGGTTGAAGACCTATCTTTGGGCGAGTGTGGTGGTATTGAGTGTGCGCTGGGCGATTTTAGAAGAGGGTGATCTTTGTAGCATTGGGCGAGTCTGTGAGCTGAGGTGGGGTAGGATGAGCCCAAGATATGATGCTGACAGGAAATCACTAGGGATTTGCAATGAGTAGAGCCTGAAATAGCTAGTCAACCATCAAATGTTTAGTGAAATTGAAAAAATCGATAGAGGGTTGCCCCCACAACCAAACCACTACCTAACTTGGAAGGGTGCAGACTCCGCAGCAGGTCCCACTCATTGTCACTGTTGGGATTTGTGACCTTAGCTACAATATTGAGAGGATCTTCATTAATAATGGAACCTTTGTTGACACCTGTTCTATTCTATATTCTTCAGCTTATGCTTGGTTAGGGAGAGGTTCTAGCTAGTTGTAAGGCTGTTATATGGATTTGATAATCGACCAATAAGAGTGGAATAAAAAATCACCTTCTACGGCTGCAAAACCTTTTTGCACTCAATAATTAGAAACAAGAACAACAACATAATCATCATCAAGCCTTTGTCCCAATATGTGGGGTCGGCTATATGAATCATTTTTTCTCCATTGTGTCATGTTAAAAGTCAAATTATTATTTAATTCTAATAAAGAAAGATCATTTCTAATAATTCTAACCCAGTCCTTTTAGGTCTACCTCTACCTTAACATAAGTCAAATCTAATAACTCTATTTTCCTAACCGGGTCATTGGAAGGCCGTTTTTTTATGTGACCAAACCATCTACGGCGACTCTCTCTGATCTTATCTTCTAATGGCATAACTCTAACATTTACATGTATTATGTATATGCTCATTTCGTATCCTATCCCTAAGGATAAAGTCACTCATCCACCTGAACATCCTCATCTTTGCAACACTTAACTTAGTATTATGTTTCTCTTTTAATGGCCAATATTTGGCACCATAAAGCATTGCAGGTCTCTCCACCATCTTATAGAATTTTTCCTTAAATTTGATTAGGAATTTTCTATCACGCAATAATTAGAAAGAAAGTTTCAAATGCAGTGATAACCATGTTAAACAAGGACCAAAATGTTCAAATTGGTGGAAGACAAAAAAAATAGCTAGACCAAAAAGAATAGGTAAAACTTCTTCATTCTTATTCTATCTTTGTTTTTTTCAGATTAAAGTGTGGAGAATTCCTGCTCCTGCTAATCGGACATGTTAATGGCAGAAGGGATCACACTCCTCTCGCAAACATCCATGAAGACATTAGACAACTACTAGGTGAAAAATGTGCTTCTCTTATCTGGGCTACTTGCCAGTTTGGTTCAAACCTCGACCCAGAGCAGCGACAGACAGTATTACATGTTCATGCACGTAGGGTTCTTGAGGCCTTGGAGCTTTACTATTGAGAGTACATGTTAGTAGCGAGAACTTTCAGCAGCCAAGTAATTTTTGCACAGTTTTCCTCTTCATCCCTGGAATGAAGCTTCATCTCCGTGCATTCGTTTGGGACAGCTTTTGTGCTGTTTTTTAGGACTTTTTAGTATAAAAATTTCAAATTCAAGAAATTTTTATATTAAAAAGCTGTTTTATAAAGCAAGAAGAAAGCCGTCCCAAAGGAAAATTAAGAGATCTTATAGGGTAAAGAAAGACATTCTACATTTATTAAGTTTGCATATTTTTCAAGTGTTACAACCTTATTAATTTTAAAAATTTGAGAAATATTGCATTTAAATTCACTGTAATTGTAATATTAAGTGTATTCTAAGTTTTTCTGTTGCCCATGGAAAAAATAATCTTTGCAATTGAAAAATAATACATTATCATAATTATTAAATTTAGAGAAATAATAAATTTATGCGAATATCATTATATATTTTTTTTATTTTTGTTTAAATAAAAAGATTAACTAATATTAATGGATTAAGATGGTTTAATTTTGTGATGATTAAAACTAATAATGCTTTGAAATATTTTTAGCTGTTAAATGTTAAAAAAATAATAACTAATTCCTATAAAATAAATGGGACTAATTTTGCCTTTCAATTTTAACCAAATATTGATTCGATGAAACTGATATGTGAATTAAGATAACATAATTTATTTATTTTCCATCAAATTTATGATCTGTTTTATTTAATAATTGTGTTATAACTCAACATTATAACAATAATCCTACTTACAATACCAAATTGGAAAAAAAATACAAAAAATGCCGAAATCTATCCACTAATTAATTCTAGCAAATATAATTCATTGATCATCAAATCCAATACAGAACCAAATTTTTCAGCTTCCAAGTTTGAAAGCATCAACAAAAAGACCCAAACAAACACCAGCTTTCCAATAATTTACAAAAACAATCAAAGCTTTCAATCTACCTATTCGCATTCTTGAAGGCTTTCTGTACATAAGCATCCCAATAGCTTCAATAGAAGCCACCACAACTCCGGCGACAAGAACATCCCAGTCTCCAGTTTGCCCCAGAATGGTTGCCAAGGCATTGGCCGTGTAGAAACCCAATAGAAGCAGAAAAATTTTCATGGGGAAGTTCTTTCGAGCAGAATTTAGCTTTTCGAGAAGCTCTCGAGCTCCGGTGCTCACTATTTCTCCAAGTCTTGTCCTTCCAAGCCCAGCATTGTCACCATTAAAGTTGCCTTGGGGATCTGTATTGAGGGAGCCACCACCTCCAGTGTCTAAGGCAAAGGGTGGCCTCAATTTGAATCTTCTTATTTGGTTTCTGCAATATAACATAAAGAGAACATAAGCAATGAAAGTCACTCTGAAAAGATAAGAAAAAGCTGAGCTCCTGTTGGAGAATGGATTATGAAATTTGGATCTTTGGTGAGATAAAATGACCAACGAAGTACAGAAATTTCAAACATCGACAGCTCCTTAAGGCTTTGTTTGGAACAACTTTCTCACCACTCTTTAAAGAAGCTTTTTTATAAAAAAATTTTTACAAAAAAACTACTTTATAAAACATAAAAAAAAGCATCCCAACCGAAGTCTAAGTTAAACAAATGTCCATGCGAAGTTCTTCAGCTACTTTAGTTTGGCATCAGAGGCCTATTCTTAATCATTTTATCAAAAATAATTATGCTTATACATTCATTAATTATTTTTCAATGTTCAAGAAAAAAAATTCAAATTTCATTATCATAATTAAAACAAACTTTTCTATGAATTGGTAGCCTAGGGCGTACCCATCCTTCTGCTACAAACATTAGCTTCAAGGACCAGAGACAAGTCAACTTGGATACAAAAAATTCTCTAATGCTTGGGGCTTAATGGACAGTGCTCTTCAGCTCAATTGGGTGCCCTTCATATTAATTCAATCCAAGTTGGAAGTTTCAATGATCGAGCCCAACCAAGCCTCGATTAAAATTTATACTTTCACCTTCAAATCCCACATGAGTCCTTGGCAAAGTGGAGATATAGGTTACCATCGCCATAGCACACAAACAGCAACACTGCAAATTAAGGCTTCATTTGGTACGGCTTTCTTACTGCTTCTTAAAACAGCTTTTTAGTATAAAAATTTTAATTTTTTACTAAAAAACTGCTTTAAGTTGTTGTTGATGATAAGATTGTTAATATTATAAGTGCTTATGCTCCTCAAGTAGGTTTGGATATGAGTTCTAAATTAAATTTTTGGAATGACTTAGAAGTATTAATACAAAATATACCTCTTGAAGAAAGAGTTTTTATTGGAGAAGATTTAAATGGACATGTTGGTAGTAGAGGTATTAGATTTGACTTATGTTAAGAAAGGTAGGGGTAGACCTAAAAAGACTTGGTTAGAAAATATTAGGAATGACCTTTCTTTATTAGATTTAAACGAGAATTTGACTTTTAATAGGACACAATGGAGAAAAAGGATTCATGTAGCCGACCCCACGTAGTGGGATAAAGGCTTGATGTTGTTGTTGTTGTACTAAAAAACTGCTTTAAGAAGCAGTAAAAAAGCCATCCCAAACAAAACCTTAGTCATTTGCAAACTTTCTGGTCTTAAAACCTGGCTCAATTTACGAATTGTCAAACTTATCATTAACCCAAAAACTTAAGTTTATGGATAATAGCTAACTACGGTATTTCTATATAATATATTTTAAAACTATCTGTATTGGGGCTAAACCAATACTCTTCATATGATAGTTTTTCACTTATTAATAATTATTATGTAAGCATTTCAATACACCAAATATAATAAACTAAGAGTTTACTTAACCGCATGGCGCCTTTAAGAGAGTCAACCTCTCTTGAATCTTGCTCAAACATGATAGAAAACCTCCAAGATTGATGGAAGCCACAAACCAAATGAACTATTTGATCTCAGCCAAACATTTGGCTCTAATACCACTTGGGTAGTTTGAACCAATATAACGATGGTTAAACTCATTTTCAACACAAAATTTTAAGTTTATGGATGAGAACAGATTACCTCGAATTTCTATACTAGTATTTTTTTCAACTATTCGATGTGAATTAAAGTTGTTATACTCACATGTCTTAAAACGACTCTACCATGTTTGAGGCCTTGATGCAAAGATAGAGACCAATTGAGGGCCGGACTAAACTGATTCACGAATCATTGTAAGTATTTTTGGTGCAGGGGAATGTAAAAGATGATACTCCATAACATTTTCTATGAGTATTCATAAAAATTGCATGTTTTTTGCATGAAAAATCCAAGTTTATCCTTAATAATATTAAAAACAAAAACTGCAGTTATGGAGTAAGCAATTGAATGAGAATAGGGAGGACAAAGATAAGAGTTAGAACAATGAATACACTCAAGGTTTTATGTCACCTCCAAATCTTTAGAAAGAATACATATTTCACTAGTCCAACTTATATAGGTTAAGATTATGCCATATTTTTATTCTCCTAGTTCGCCATTGGCCAAGGTGAACTATTAAAAATGTTTTGGGTAAACTATATAAAAGAAAAAGTAGTGATAACTCTCTATAGTCATGTGGAAGAAAAAGTACGAGGAGGATAATTATACATAACAAGGAAAACTTTACAAATATAACTAACAAGTGAACTCTTCTATTAAAAAAAATAAAAAAAAAATAAAAATAAAAAATAAAAAAGTGAACTCTTCTATTGCCCAAAACATCGAAGGTTCAGAGAAGTTTGAAAAGCTTTACTTCTCCTGAATATGGATTTCTAAGCTACAACACAGCCATATGTATGCTTACTTCCATCAGTACCATATCAGATAATTGAAACTTTGCTTGCAAACTCTAAACATTTGCATTGGCCTTAAGATCATAGAGAGCCTTCTCCATTTGAGACATAAAAGAGCATTTTGCACTAAAAACAAAAACAAAAGATGCATCATTTTGTGCATCAATAAGTGAAGCATTTTCTCAATAATCATCAACAACAGCCTCATGCACATAATAAACTATATAGATATTTGTAATAACAAAAATCCGGGATGCGATTATACTTTGCAAACAGAAGGAAGGTCATGTAATAAAAATTAAATAAACAGCTTTCTGCCTTAACTGTTAGCAATTTAGCATCCTCTTTTCCATCGCAATTCCTGCTTCATAGATTACCTATGGAATTAAAACTTAAGAACTAATGGTATCCCATCCAAAACTTCACTTTTGAATTCCTTGGTGCTTCCATAGTTGATATGTAAGCTACTATTGTTCAGGTTAATCAAATCAGAAACTTTTTGATCTAGCCATTTGTGCACCTTAAAAGAGAAAAGCAAAACTCCTCCATCTCCAATTCAATAGAACATGGCATAACAATATATCTAAGATAGAATTTTATTTGAGAATGTCATCAGATAACCAAATACCTGGATTCCAGGAAAGGAGCTGCCTTTATGTTGAAATCCATGGGCCATACTTCAGAACAACTTCTAGGGTTCCGAAGCTGCGACTCTACGCACTCCCTCTCCGCAAGCAACATCATACTACGGAAAACCAGAGTCCCCATTTTTCTAAAAGCATTGAAAAAAATGGAATTCCTGTGATTTAGGGCGGCAAGCAAAATGAAAATTTCTCTTGGTCGAAACATGGAGATGAATTGGGCAAGTGAAAAAATTGGGGATTTGCGGCCATTACCGTATACCTTGTTAATGAGATGTGATGATTAACTCTATGAGAATAAGAAAATGAGTTGAACCCTAGGGTTTGAATCTTCAAATCACGCTACTTATCCCTGTTTTGTTCCTCCTCCCTACTAGAGTTACGGCTATAGCCCTCAAAGTTATTTAAAAATGGAGAATTTACATAGATACCACTCTATAATAATATATGTTAAATATGTAAATATAATAATTTTAAGTGTTATGTAAATATGTAAATAGGTAAATATGTAATAAAATTCTCTTACTTTTTAAGAGGCTAAATGCAAATATCAAATTTATTCTTATTTACATATTCAATATCTAAAATAAAATATTTACAATTATTGCATGCTAGAATACTTATGGTGGTTGAGTTGTAGATTTTATTTGTCTTAACATTACCGATATCCAATACACTCAGTAATAAAAAGAGAGTTGCAAATACACCAAAGTTTGTGTACAAGTCGAAAAGGAGAAAGAAAACTGGGGATTGACCCAGTTTTAATGATTTTATTAGTATTTATTATTTGTTATAAATTATTCTCTTCATTAGGGAGAAGATGTTGATATAATATAGTAAAATTTGATATATATATATATATAATGTATTATGTAGTTGAAGTTGGAAGAGCCTTGTGGAATGAGACATATTTAAAAGTCATTTACATGTTTGTTTAGTCATACCATTTTGAGAATGGGAGGCTACAGATAAAAAAGTTTAGTATAAATCCTAATGTTAATGTCAAGAATTATAGTTGGTGTTAACGTTATGCATTAATATTATTTGTGACAGTAAGGGGCTGTTTGGTATCGGATTTACAGCGGGATTTAAGTCGGATTTAAGCTAAATCCAGCTAAACAGTTTTTGTGCGCTCGTTAAATCCTGGGATTCGGTAAATCCCGGATTTACGGCTTAAATACAGGATTTACTAAATCCCTCAGTTCGGTGGATTTAACGGGATTTAAAGTTAGGCGGAAAACTTACCCGCGGCGCCCGTGTCGTCAAGCTCTTCCGTTGCCCTTATTTGCCGAAAGGAACGAAGCCATCGCTCAAGGCCGTCGCCTCAACCTCTCTGATTTTTCTTCTTCTTCCCCAGAGCGTTGCTCCGACTCATCCTCTCCCATATTTCTTCTTCTTCCCCAGGTTGTTGCTCCGACTGAAACCTCTCCCATTTATTTTCTTCTTCCCCAGGTTGTTGCTCCGACTGAAACCTCTCCCATGTGTTTTTTCTTTAAAATTTTCTCACTGATATATAAAAATCTGCATAACTTTTGGTATTGTACTATTTCCATCATATATTAATTTGTTAAGCAAATTACCTTTCAGTTAAATGAAGTTGTCGTAGTTCATATATCTGTAAGTCCATTTTTTTTAACGCTACAAATAATTGATTGGTAGTACGGTTGTTAAGCTAATTAAAATCAGAATGAAGCGATCCTTTTACACCGGATTTGACAAAGATATTTTTGATTCCGTGAGCGACAACGAGTCATCTAATGCCATATATCTCAAAAATTATGGTTTCCATCTTGATTGGAGAGTTTTTCAAGGACGAAAGGGTATTACTTATGAATATACTCTATATAATTAAATTGAAAGTGCGGGGTCAAATGAATTATCATCTTACCACATGTTGCCTTAATTTTTTATAAAAATTATAGGTTTCTTAAAGGGAAAGGGTTGGTTCATGGTAGCTCTAGCTCCCAACGTCATGTAGATGAAGTTATCTCCAGCAATCCTAAAAGCACGTCTAGGATTGCTAGGTGGCCCGAAGAGCACAACGTTGTGCTAGCCGAGCTTCTATATGAGCAATTCGTACATGGAAATATATGTAATGGTAACTTAAGGAAGGATTAGTGGCTGAATCTTGTTAACGTCTTGAATAGACGTTTGGGTACATATTACACAGATTCTTCGGCCATGATTAGATTCAAAAATATGAAAGCTGATTTCCGTACACTATATCAACTAACAAATCGAAGTGGTTGGGGCTGGGATGAGGAATTACACATACCAATTGCAACTGAAGAGCTTTGGGAGGAAATTGTTCAGGTAAATATGTAATTACTAATTATGCAATTCTACTCTTGATTAACCATACATTAGGATGACTTGTTTCTACTTTCTTTTATTGATACTACAGGTAACACCAAAGCTTTCACGATATCGTCGGCATCCATTCCACCAATACGAAATATTTGAAAAAATTTGCGTTGATAATATTACAGTGGGTAATGTCGCTAGATGCAATAAGACAAAATCTGCAACAGTAAATTTAGAACAAGATGAGACGCCCCAGTACGAAGATGACTTTCTCACTGCTAATGGTGTAACCTTTGAATTCGAAGAAACTCCAACAAGCAACATGCCTGAGGCAACTGATGGTTTAACTCCAAACTCAGAACCTATTGATAGTCAAACAATAGGTTCTAAAAGATATAGTGATGGTACTGCAAAAGGGCAGTTTGAAGTACCCCGCAACAAATATTTTTTGGTTGATTATGGTTATGCAAATACTGATAGACTGATTGCCCCATTTCGCGGATATCGATATCATTTAGCAGATTATCGTGGAAGAACGACAAGGCGATACGCTGCCGAGCAAGAGTTATTCAATCATCATCATGCATAGCTACGCGATGTGGTAGAACAAACTTTTGGAATTTGGAAGGAACATTCTCAGGTTCTGACGCACATGCGACAGTTCCCTATTAGTGTTCAAGCAGATATTGTCATTGCTTGTGCGGTTCTGCATAACTTTATTGGTCGATACCACGGACATGATCTATACTTCAATATGTCACAAACAGAAATGCAACATGATGCTGAAACTGTGGAAGTTGATATGCCTGAGGACGATCCCAACTTACATGCGACAATAGGAGAAAGAATTCAAGGTGAAGCTATTAGGCACAATATCACCATTGATTTATGGAATGCTCGGGTAAGAATTTTAATTTGAGTAATGTTTCACTAACTACATTCAATTTTGTACTAATTCATTCATTTCTTTATTTCATATTGCAAGTCAAAGAAATCGATCATCGTGAAAAAATTTGGCTCCCAAGAAATAGCTATGAAGACATTTACATATTAAATGCATTCTCTAATTTAATGCTTAATTTGTCATTTTGGTCAATATTGCTTTGTAATTTGCTCTTTATTGAATTTTCGATCATTTTGTGAGAACTCAAGTTTGTTTAATGATGTTTTATACAATGATCTTCATCTCATAAAATATATGTTTAAATTTTAAATCCCTAACTGCCATAAATCTTGAAATATGTTACCAAATAGTTTCTCAATATTTAACAGGATTTAACATATTGCATACCAAACAGTTTTCAGGATTTAACCCAATTCGGATTTACTAAATCCGGATTTACAGGATTTACTAAATCCCACTAAAGTTAAATCCCACTGGTTGCCAAACAGCCCCTAAGTGATGAAGTTCGTGGGTATCAATGAATCATTATTCTAGATGCTCATCCTCCATCGCCACATTGTGCTCAACCATGCTGGTCATGATGATCGCCTGCTCCACCACGTTGGCCACCTGCTCCACAACTTGCTCAAATCATAAGAATCATAAGAAGAGAGCTAAGACTTTAGGGTGAATTTAAGTTTGAATTAATCAAAATATTAAAAAAATATTTGACTTTGCTAAACTAAACCAATTCATTAAATTTAATGATTAATGATTTTTTGGTGAATTAATATTTCTAATTTTCAAAACAATAATGATATATTTGGCTTCATCAAAATGATCCTAAATTCATAGAATTTAGTGAATGAATATTGAATTGATAATCTTACAAAGTAAATTACAATTTACTAAAATGAATTCTTAGAGTTTTATAAGGTAAAGGGAATAAAAAATTATTTAATTTATAATTGGGATGATTTTTATTCAATTTTAGTTATTTTAAAATAGCCTTGAGAGCAAGGGATTTTTGTTTTTTAAGGCTTATAGCCATTTTTATTTTATGAATTATTTGAATTTCAAATTTATTTTAATTTTAATTTTTTTTTTTTGGAAAAATCACTATGATACATTGATCTAATGTAGAGGGAATTTCCATAATTTTAGAAATTTAAAATGAGAGAAATAAATATTTAAGGCTAAATTTTCGAAAGGAGCACTTTTTAAACAACATTATGTAAAAGGAGCAGGATTAACAAAAAATTTTAAAAGGAGTAAATACGTTGAACAATTTGGCGCATTTAGAATGCGCCAAATATTTAAACGTTTTCTAAATACGCCAAACTATTTGGCGTAATAGCCATGAGAGAGAAAAAGAGAGGGAGTGGAGATGATGGGGAGAGAGTGGGTAGGAAGAGAGAGAAAAACCTGATCGGTGAGAGAGAGACAGTAGAGTAGAGAGGGAGAGCATGTGGGTGCATGAAGATAGTAAATATTTGGGTAAATTTTAAGAAGGAGCACTTTAACTATCACATTTAGTGAAAGAAGCAGGTTTATTAAAAAATTTAAGAGAGAATAATATTTTAATTAAATTATAAATTATAAAATAATTAAATTAAATATAAATTTTAATTATAATGTAATTACATTAATTTAAGTTATAAATGTAAAGAAATTAGTTATTAAAATTATAATGTAATTAAATTAAACTAAGTTAAAAATTAAGTTAAAACTAAAGTTATTTAATATATAAATTAATAACTTATAGTTTATATGTTTAATAGTAATAATTTTAATAAAAAAATGATTAAACATATAAATTATTATTTAATAATTAAAATTAATACATATAATTTGTAGATGAGAGTGCAGCCGCATAAAATATTATTCTCTCTCTAACTTTTTTTCTCTTTCTCTCTCTTATCCCTTCCTACATAATGTTACTGATCATTTTAAAATAAATTTTTTAAATAATATTTTTATGATGAAAATCATGAAATAATATTTATTTTTAATTAATAATATTAAATAAATTATATTCATCATTTATTTTTTTATGTACTATAAATATTAATTAATTTATTTATTATTTATAATAAATTATTTAATTTAATCTCAATAATTTATAAATGTAAAGTAATAATGTGAATCTAATATATAAATTATATATAAATATATAACAAACATTAAGAATTATTTATATTAAATTTATTAATTTATTTGTAAATTAATTTTTTGTTAAATTTAAATTAAGTTTAAAGATTGAATATGTTTAAATTTAAAATTATATAAGATATTAGTAATGTGTGAATTCAATTTATTTTTTTAATAAAAAATTGTGTTATTTATATGATTTTTATGACATCTAAATTTTATTTATTACGTCATCCGGTTCAACCCCGGTTCGAACTGGTCGAATCCTGAACCGCTCTCTCTACCGGTTCGTTATCCGGTCCAATTTTCAAATGACTTTTTTTTTGTGCCAAAAATATTTTATACATTAACAAAATCTTTTGGTAAAAAAAAACTTAAAAAAAATTAGAAAAAAGAAATCCATAACTCATTACATACCTTAATAATTATTTAAATTTTAGAAATTATGTGACAACATCAAAATAATTATTTTATTTCTTAAATTACTAAATATATTAAATTATCATATTTATTTATAAAAAATTAAATCAATATTAATTTAAAGTACACAACTCTCCTTGGCCTATTGGTTGAGAGCTAAGGCTTCCAACTAAGAGGTCCAAGGTTCGAGTCTTTATGTATGCGTTGTGTGTGTGAGTTTGTCTTAAATGGCCTAAATGTCAAAAAAAAAAAAAATTAATTTAAAGATACCTATTTTAATTTAAAAAGTCTTTTGACACCTCAAAGCTCACTGGAAACGCGAGTCCAAAATGTTGACCGAAGTTCATCTCACCCTTCCTCCCTACTTCCGCGTGTATGCTGCTCGCAATTGCTATAAAAGCCAAAGACCCCCTTCAGTCTTCTCACTTCTGAACGCGCGTGGGACGGAAAAGGAGCTTTCTTCTCATCTCCTAGGATCGCGATACCTTCTTCTTCTTCTTCTTCTTCTTTTCTTCTAGTCGAGGAGATGGGGAAGCTGTACGCGAAGACTGTGCCTCCGCCGGATCTGAACAAGAATACGGAATGGTTCATGTACCCGGGTGTGTGGACGACTTATATCTTCTTCCTTTTCTTCTTCTGGCTCATCGTCCTCTCCGTCTTCGGCTGCAACACCGGAATGGCATGGACGATCGTGAACCTCGCCCATTTTGTTGTAAGCTCTTTTTTGTCGTATCTAGTTTTTCTGTTTGTTAGACTCGGATGACTGCATGCGATCTCTATTTTTTATGGGGCTTTCGTTGATGCACGTTAGGGTTTGTATTTTGCAATTATATACCGGGCTTGATGGGTTTTTATTCATATATGTGCATTTTTAATGTATCAGGGTTGATTTTTGTTTTCCTGATTTTGTTGTGGTTTGGGAGGGAGGGAGTTGGGGCAGGTGGTTGTGCTTGTCTTAATGATTTGATAGCGTAATTTGAATTTTCATGGAAGGCATATACAGCTTGAAAGTTGAAGCCGATCTATCAAAGTTTGATCATCAATAATGTGTGAGCGCTAATACTAGAGCTTGGATAAAACTTTTGTTCTCTATGTTGTGCTATTCTGTTGATACAAGATGAAACGGTGGATTAAGAAAAAAGATGAATGTTTACCCCTAAAATTGATTGGATTTAATGAGGTTAATTGCAGGCGTTGTTTTTTTTTTGGCAAACATGGCGAAGTTCTCTTGGTCACTGTGTATAAAACTAGCAAAATCACACACATAGTGGTTAGAGGAGAATGTTATTTCTCTAAGGTCATCGGCTTAGGCTTCTAAAAAAATATGTTTTTATTTGTTTACTTTTGAAACTTTTGGTTTTGATCTCAATAGATTAGAGATGCTTCCTTTGTTTGAGGTTTGGAGAATTTTTTTTTTTTACATGATGAATGGAGACCTGTTTATGTTAGAGATGACAAGAATATTAAGTTTGACCTAGCCTACTCATTTTGTTTGTTATTATTTAAGAGGATTGCAAATAGCATGCACAAAGGATATGACTAATTGCCTTGAAGATCATGGTGAGTTGCTGGTAGGGCAGATAGACTTTTGTTGTCTTGGGAGTGATGGTGATGGTAAGCTTAAGTTCCATATTTAATGTTGGATACATAAGCTTGTGTTGCATCATTTCAATCAATTTTAATTTCCCTTTGAGTCGGTTACATCGATAGAAAATGTAATTAGTATTTTTAAGTTCCAGTTGCCTACATTAAAAATGTTAATGAATTTATGTACTAATAGTGCTTTTGGAAAGTTCAATGCAGTATACATCCCAACTCTCAATTAAACATTTTGTTAGAATTTTTCATAAGATAAACACAATTGCCCTATTCCTACATAGAGCATAAGCTATGTCCCTTAAGCATGCCTTCATACAAGTCATAAGATCATCATCTTTATTAGGCATATCTCAACTATTTGGTGCCAACTTTAGGAACCCTTATTCATCTTTATTGGTAGCAGGTATTTAAAATGCATATATTTTAAAATTTTCTGTAAAACAAATATATTGGATTTATGCTTTACATGAAGTGTTTGATTGAATGTTATTTAAATTCAGTTAGATGATTTTTTCTTGTTTGTAGATAACTTTTTCTTCAATATTTCTATATCTCCTTTGGGGAGATGATTGAGTTTCCCCATCTCTTATTTTGCTCTTTAGTCTCTAAACTTTTGCAATCTTGTTTTTGTGGTAAACCAATTTGTTAACATACCACCAAATTTTTTATTAATATAATGGCATCGAGCCCTTATTGGTGTTCTTGCTACTAAATCCATTACTTCCTTTTTGGTGTCAATGATTAATAACTTTTTTCCCCTGCTTGTTACATGAAAAATAAATTGCATGCTTGATAAAAAAGAGAGAATGCTTTGCAAAGATATAAGGAGTCATTCTAGGATTCTATTTTATATGTGTCTATTATATAACATATATTATATATATATATATATATATATATTGTAAAATAAGTAATTGTTCCGACGGAACATTATGCTAGGACCTGTTTCGGAAGAAATGATTGTTTCGACGGAACCTTCTGCTCATATATTTTTGCAAGGTAGATAACTTTCTCTTCAACATTGCTGCATCTCTTTTGGGGAGACAATTGAGTTTTCTCACCTTTTGTTTTACTTTTAAGTTTTGAACTTCTGAAGTAGACCAATTTGTTAACTTACGTCCAAATCATTTGATGTTGAGCCCTTATTGTTGTTGATGTTACTAAATTTGTTGCTTTTCTTTTAGTTCCAACGATTAAGAAATATTTTCTCCTACTTTCTATATTGCAAACAAATTTATAGGATTTTGATAAAAAGAGAAGTTATTGTGAGATTTGTAATATGAATACCTTTAAGCTTTGCAAGGTTATAAGTAGCCATTTTTGGATTTCATTTATTAGTAACATAACAAGAATGAACTCTTGCTTCCATTATTTCTTTCAAATTGATGTTCCAATATCATCTTCTTAAATTCCCACATTTTCTTATTCCTTTTTTCAAAGAGATTCCTGTGAAATAAATAAATATTTTGATAAAACCTTCTATCAAGACTTGTTTTGTAGGAAATGATTGTTCTGATAGAACCTTCTATCTAAATATGTTTGCAAGGTAGATAACTTTCTCTTCAACAATGTTGCATTTCCTTTTGGGAGATAATTGAATTTCCCCATCTTCTATCTTTTTCTTAAGTCTTTAACTTTTGAAGAATACCAATTTGTAGCATACCACCAAATCATTTTTAATTAATATAATGACCTTGAGTCCTTATTATTGTTGTTGCTATTAAATCTACTTTTTTTTCTTTTTTGTGCCAACGATTATGATTTTTTTTACCCTACTTGATGCACCAAAGAATAAATCACTGGCTTCGTATAGAAAGCAAGTAATAATATCAATAAAATGAGCTATTATAGTAGGATTTGTAGTATCCAGTACTTTTTTTTTTGCAGAAATGTAAGGTACCATTCTAAGATTCAATTTATTAGTATCATGATCAAAATAAACTCCAGCTTCCATCAATTCTTCCAAATTGAAGTTCCAATATCATTTTCTCTTTTCCCACACTCCCTTTTTGAAAGAGATTCAACACCCTGTGAAATAAATAATTGTTTTGACTGAACCTTCTATTAAAATTTGTTTAGGAAGAAATGATTATTCTAACGAAACCTTATTCTAAAATATCTTTTTAAGGCAGACAACTTTCCTTTAACATTGCTACATCTATTTTTGAGGTGATTGAGTTTTCTCATGTTTTGTTCTGCTCTAAGTTTTGAACTTTAGAAGTCTTGTTTCTGTAATAGAACATATTATTAACATTTCTCCAAGCTAATTTTTATTAACATAATGCCATAGAGTCCTTAGTTTTGTTGTTGCTACTAAATTCGTTGTTTTCTTTTTTGTGCCAATAATTAAGATTTTTTTTCCGACTTGTTGCATCAAAACTAAATCTTAGGCTTTTGGTAAGAAATGGCCAATTTGAAATTAGAATTTTTAGGTTCAAAATTTACTTGCATTAAAAATATGAATGAAGTTCTGTGTTGATCAAATTCCGAATGAAACTTAACTAAGAGATATACAACATCTCATTTATTAAAGAATAGAGGTAAAGCATCAGCTTTATCAAAGAAAAGGAATCTTCTCTGAAAAGGCCTTCTTATCTGAAAATAGAATACCAAAACTTAGTTCTTATATGTCAGAATTTTCGTCATCCTCTTATGCAAATTATTTATGTCTATGACTTTTGCCATTTAATATCATTTTATTGTTGTTTTCATGATATTCCTTGGCCTAGTAATTTCTAAATATCGGCTCATTGCCATGGTTTCATCTCCAATAGAGTATTCATCATTGTCTTGAGATATTTCTTCATCTTCCCCAGGATTAGGTGCCGTGGTTGCAGAATTCTGTGAATTGCTTTTGATATTAGCACAACATTCTTTGTTTAATATATTCTGATGATTCATGTGGATATTTTCTCCTTAAATTGTCATGAATATTTTTTAGAGAAAAGCAAAGCTTGTCCGATGTTTTTCTGGTGACCTACTCTTTGTTATAGTTATTAAGATCTCCAATAATATTTGTGTGCGGGTGTCTAAAAGGTTTTCTTATGATAACTAGCATACGACATTAGGCAAGCTTGATGCAGATAAGACATGCATTTCATATGTATGAACAATCTCTTTCAAGAAGAATAATTTAGATGGTGGATTCAACCAAATAAAAAGTTTTATTTTTTATATTTTCTTAAAGGTAGTTATGTTGAATATTTCCTTTTAGATATTGATGTAATTTCACTTGTTTTTATAATCAGTTTTTTATGAATTTCATAAAATAAAGTACTAAAAGCAAAATTGACTTTGATTTGATTGACAAAATTAAGGATAATATTGACTAATAATTTATCAGTTTGTTTATGTGATTTAATAATTTTACATATATGATTTGTTCAGCTTTAAATTCATGGATATATTCAGATTCGTAGTCAGGATTTGGCTCAAATATGATTTTGTATTCAACTTCAATTTCAGAATTTGGTATTAACTATGTTGAATTTAAGATACAGATGTATAGTTAGGTTCTGGTGCAAAGTCCGATGTATAGTTAGGTTCTGGTGCAAAGTCCGATGCATAAAGTGTAGTTGGTTATTGTCAAAATTCAATATTGTTTCAATGCAAAACTATATTTAGAATCATTCTATAGTTTCCAATCATTTTCTACATCTATATGCAGCACTTATTTTACAATAAAATACACAAACTTCACAAGAAAGCAAACTGTTAATTACAACAATTATTTACTACTAGCAAGGAAAGAGAAAAACAAATCGAATCTGATTCCACTAATAAGGCTTTCACCTTCTAATATGAAGTAACGGTAATAAAGATACAATCGATTGCGATTATGTGCACAAAAGGGAAGCCATGTTGTATGAGATTTGAATGAAACCAATCATCTGATTAATCAATCACATGAAAGAAAAAAAAAAGAGAGGAGGGGTGGGGGGGAGTGGAAAGAGAGAGAGAACGGGGAAGAGGGGAAAGAATTAACCAATAAGTTTCATATATGAATAAGGAGATCACCTCCTAAATACTTCAAGGTTCACACTTGAACCAGGAATAGAATCCCAAGAAAAAAATGTACTTTTATTTTGTGTCAGATTGTTTTTAGTTGTCTCGTGCCATTGTTATTAGCCTTATACGGTAGTCATTATAGTTTAGGATCTTAGATAAACATGTTGGCAAAGCCCCTGTCAACTAAGATGAAATTGTAATGGGATAGATCAAATTGGATAGAAGGTATAGAAGCTCACTCGACTATAATTGCAATAGAAGCTTATTGGAACCTCCACTAGAATAGTGATAGGAAGTGGTGCACTTCTCACAAAAATCAGTGGATTAAACATAAAAAATTGGGAAGAAGAATCCCCCGAAATAATTTTTATTGAAAGAATTATAAATAAAAATGCAATATGCAATTGAATCTTCAATTGTTGAGGAAGATCCGACTCTCTCAAATCCCTAGTTGCCAGCTAAAGCCCAAATAACTTAAGAATAAACTAAGTTCAGCAAACTACAAAACATAATACTGAAATCATCATATTTTTAGTCTTAAAAAGGCTCCCATAATTCCCTCCCAAATCAGTTATCTTTCCCTAAATAATTCCTTCTCAAAATTGAATTTAAATTACATTTATTTTCCTAATTAATTTCTTCCCAATTGTAATTAAAATTTTCCTAAACAATCCACCTTAATTCCTCCTCATCTTCCCTAAATAATTCCCTTTTAGATTTTTTCAAATTAGATCTCTTGCCCTAAATAATTCCCTCTCAATTATAATTTAAACAATTCCCCAACAATTCTACTTTGTTTAAGAACCTTCTTAAACAAGTCCATCTTGATTAGGAAATTTCCTAATTCCCTCCCAGTCCAATCAGCCGGTCCATCAATACTCCCCTCCCAAAGTGCCACCTGACCTCAATGTGGAACGAAGGAAACTACTGCTTAAGCACTTGACTAATATCACTGGACTAAAAAATGGATTGACATTGGGTTGAATGATTCCTACCTCCATCATCTCCCTGATCAATCTCCCAATCTCATACTTCTGGATTTGAGGATAACGGTACGGACAAACACTGATAGGTGAGACTATTTCCTTCAAGATGATAGTATGCTCGTGTTACTGCGAAGGTGGAAACCTTTGAACTGGCTGGAATACCACTTGATATTGCTGTAGGAGTGGTTGAACCATGTATGGTGCTTATATCTTCCTTCTCCCCATCTTCTTCGCCTTCCAAACTTTGCAGCTCCACCAAAAATCTCATTCCCGGTATAAGCAGGATTTGGAATCTTGCCCGGTATAAGTAGGATTTATTAAACAAACTTTGCATCAGATTCATATACTCCAGCAAATTTGTCATGCTTTGTTGATAGTTGTGCTTGATAGGAATTAAATGTCGTTGATGTTGATAATGTCCTTTGACATGAAGATCTAACAACTTCTTTATCATTCCTTCTAGGTTGGAAAATTTTTATTCCATTAATGACATTCTATCCTCAAACACCAATTTGAGTCGGCCAACATTTCTTTTAAGATGCTCATCAACTTTCCTTGCCGCCATATGTCCCAAAAAAGTGCTATGATACTAATTTGATAGGGAGTGAATGCACTTTTCACAAAAATCAGCGGATGAAACATGAAAATTGGGAAGAAGAAAGCCCCAAAATAATTTTTATTGAAAGAACTATAAAGAGAAATGCAAGATATAATTGGATCTTCAATTGGGGAGAAAGATCCGGCCCTCTCAAATCCCTAGCTGCCAGCTAGAGCTCAAATAACCTAGGAATAAACTAAATTCAGCAAGCTCCAAAACATAATCCTAAAATCACCCTATTGTTAGCCTTAAATATGCTCCCATAATTCCCTTCCAAATCAACCCTCTTTTCCAAAATAATTCTCTCAGATTTGAATTCAAATTAGATTTATTTCCCTAATTAATTCCCTCCCAATTATAATTAAAACTTTCCTAAATAATACCCTCTTAATTCCTCCTCATTTTTCCGGAATAATTCCCTCTTTGATTTTGAATTCAAATTAGATCTCTTGCCCTAAATAATTCATCTCAATTGTAATTTAAAGATTCCTAAATAATTCTCCTTTGATTAAGAATTTTCCTAAACAACTCCCTCTTGATTAGGAAATTTCCTAATTCCACCCCAATCAAATCGGCCAGTCCATCTAATGGCTGCAAGAATCAGAGACCGTATGAATCATAGGGTGTATGCAAGCTAGGAATATGGAATAGGATTCATTTCAAGAGTAGGGGACTGTAGGAACTACTGCATGAAGTGCAAACCTAGGTTTCTAAACCTATACTTTCATCCAGTCACAGAAATATGAACAAAAGTCATATGTAGAAGCATTCATTAATCATTTTCTTATTGTATATACACTCTAAACTAATTCATTACATCTCAAGATTTCAAATAGAAAATTCAAAAATTGTAGTTCAAGATTCAGAATAACTGACATATCACAAGCTTTATTTATTTATTTTTGGGGTTCCCAATGGCGATAGACTCAGTTTGTTGATTAAAAGTTTCTTCTCTAGAAGTTACACAAGAATTGTATAAAATAAGGTTTACACCTTATGTCGTATTCAACCAAACCAATGAAGGAGGGCTCATAAAGCCGACCCCCAAATGCTTGGATAAGGGCCATTAACTTAATGATGATGGTTAATGTCTGAAGAATTGGTAAACCACTTATGATCTTTGCACTTCTTTTTAGAACTATTCATTCTTTCGTTTTTGGCCACTCAACCAAATTTGGAAGATACAGAGTTCTCTATCATCTAATATTGGCTGGTAATTAGCTGCTGCGATTTTGTGTTGAGTTTAATCATACTAAAAGCCTTTTTTTTTTTCAGGTTACATATCAGTTTTTTCATTGGAAGAAGGGAACTCCCTTCGCAGAAGACCAGGGTATCTACAACAGGCTTACTTGGTGGGAACAAATTGATAGCGGAAAACAACTTACTAGCAACAGGAAATTCTTGACAATTGTACCTGTGGTCTTGTAAGCATTATTTTACTGTTCTTTTTCAGCTTCAATTTGATTGAATTCTATTTTGATTTATTTAGATGCCATCATACAAAAGTAGTTGAAGGGAATCTGGCATTTATTGGATACATTAGTGGATCAATCATGCGTTAGTACTCTTTAAATTGTTTTTTATAAAAAATTTCCCTTTCTTTTTGCCCACTATGGGTATGTGGAGAGTAGGGAGCTACATTTGCCTCTGCTCTGGATATAATATTGTTTTTTTTTTTATGCCTGTGATCTTAAAATAGGTACTCATGATTTCTGTTCTGTTTCTGTTCTATCTGATTCGGTAAACACTGTGATTGATCCTTCAGCTGGAACTTGGGTGATGCATTCATTTGCAAATATTCTTTATTTTTAAGAGAAAGCTCTTTTGCATTGTTTGTGGACATTTAAGGGGTTGCTCATGAGCCAAAGATGATATTGTGCTTGTATTGTAGCTTATTGATGCCATTGAGGGTAGCGATAATGAAAATGTTGGGTATCAGGTGGAGGAGAACCCACGAGAGGAGGGAAGATAAGAGGAAGATTCAAATTTTTAGTTCTTCATTCAATTGATCAAATACAAGCCTCAAATACCCTATTTATAGGAATGGGGCAGATTAAATTTAAATCTACTCCTATCTAATCCTAAATAATTTAAAGTTCAAACCAAATATTATACAAAAGAATAATTAAACCTAATTTCAATAATAATTAAATTATAATAAATGAAAATTGCTATAGTGCTTGAAATAAATCCCAATATCCTTTGTTGCGTCAATTCTCTTAGGATTGAAAATTCTTCTCCTTAGGAGTTGCACAAAATAGCGTCTTGAGAAACCTGGTGGCCATTCTGGGGAAAGTGGTGGACCTGATTTATTTCCATTCTTGAGGGCATCTTTTGAGACAATGGAGGTATACAAGAACAAAATTGCATGTATCGTACTAAGAAGAGTGCTGGCAACTGAGAACAGTCACTGAGCTGGAATGATGAATATAATCTTGGGGCATCACAACTATGATTGGAAGCACAACTTCAAAAAGAAGAAGTTTTGTTGTCGACTGTGAATCTTGCTATAAATATGAGCTGTCTTAGGAGCAAAAATGGTGTAGACTTGGACTCGATCTCAGGTACATCATCATTCATTGTAGAAAATTATTGCTCAAACTTAGACACAATCTCAATCACTTTCTCAACCTCATGCTAATCACCTTCAACATCTAATAATTTATCTATATATCATAATTCAACATAATAATAATCTTCATAGATTATAGAATGGGGAGCAATTTTTTGAACTTTTGGAGTTGACACAAATTGTTCAGCATCTAGAATTGGTACTAGTGCTTGAGCTATTGAAATTTGAGAAATTGGTTTCTAATATGATTTCATAATGAAATGGTTTTCATGTGGACAAGATGGGACAATCTTATGCAAAATAAACATAAGATCTATGCACAATCAAATGCATCTTTAACGTATCATTTTGAACTTGTAGATAATATTCTGTCCAATACTTTTTAGCCAAATCTGATTGATATCGAAAATAATCATATTGTTGAGTTCTCTCTTACGTTGTAAGAGGGGTAATTAACTATGGGCGCTTGCGCTCATAGGAAGTAAGAACCCCAGATCTATAAATCCTGACACTACCCTCAGGGGAAATCTGGTTAATTTCAATCTGACTTAAGAGAAGTGGAATCCTACGGCTGCAAAAACGGGATTCACGCATTCGTGCCATTTTTCTTGAGCCAACACATATATTATACTAAGATGTTGATCTTGATGAAACATGTTAACAAAAATATTTGTAATTTTAGAGTTTATCCTATATTTTTTGTGTGTTTTCATATATCTTTCCCATATAAGCCATATGTTGTCTGCAATTAAACTTCTATGGTTGTGTAGATGTCATAATAACATACAAAGAAATGCATAAAACTAGAGGTTATGGTTTAGTAATTGATTCTAATTTGTTTATTTGATGTGTATACCAATTGGTGCAAAATCTAAACAAAAATCAGCTCTAATGTAGCTGAATAGAAAATACATAATCAGATGAGTACAGTGACCTCGAACAGAGGCAATCATGAGTGGGTATGGATTGTGATTGGTTGGGCGATGGGAGGGTGCATGATTGTATTGATGAGATGCATTGTGACTACAATGCTTCTGGATCAAGATCCAAAGCAGACTATGTGATGTCAAATGTGAGCGAGATAGGGATGCAAGAGCTACAAGATGTGGAAGGATCACGAGCAGCCAAACGATTGTCTGAAGAACAAGCAGAATCGATGATTCATAGGTTACGAAGAAAAGCAAAAGTTACAAGATCATGGAAGTTTATGCCATGAGAAGGTGCATGATGTAGCTGGGTTAGTTCTACCAGACATGCAGATACGATGGGTTTTGGATGGTGCGAGAGAGATGAAGTTTACAATTGGGATGGGAACAATTGCGATTGGGATGTGACTGTTATGGCTGCAGGCCAAGGGAGGTTAGATTGGTCGGCCCAACAGGCAGTGGAGGGGCGGAACCTGGAATCAAATCCAGAGAGATTTCGGCCCCTCTTGTGGGGCACAACAAAGTAATAATTCATTATGTTAGGAGGGTAATTAAGGAGATAATTAATTAGTGAAAGATCTACTATTTGAATTCAAATAGGAGAGGGAAATTTATAAGGAAAGAAGGTTGATTTTAGAGGGGTTATGAGATATTTCCTAATTAAAGAGGGTTGATTATGGGGCTGATTTGGAGGGGATTAATTAGGAGATGTTTCCTAGTTGAAGAGGATATATTTGAGGGCTGATTTGGAGGAGAATAATCAGGAGATGTTTCCTAATTGAAGATGTCAGATTTGGGGTCATGTTTGGGAGGTTGATTTGGAGAGGATTAATTATGAGATGTTTCTTAATTAAAGAGGGCTGATTTGGAGAAGATTAATTAGGAGATATTTTCTAATTGAAGAGGGTGGAAGTGGGGGCTGATTTGGGAGGAAATTGGGTGAGGCTGCTTGGTATTTGTTGTTTATTGTTTGTTATAAGTAGGAGGGTTTATGTTATGTTTTGGATAGAGAATTTCACTCAAGAGTTGCTATAGTTTCTTTTTTGTGATGGCTTCCTAGTGGCGTCTAGGTTGTTTGGTAGAGCCAATATACCTCTCAAATTATATATCACATATTTTGTTTTTCGTATTGAAGTTATAATCCAAAAACTAGCCACCGTTTTTCAATTTCTATTGTTTTATTATCTTTTCTCCCTATTTCATCCTCAAGGTGTATCAAATTAGTATCAAAGCACCTTTTTGGGGCCTATGACAGCAAAGAAGGTGGAGTTAGAAGGCAAAATGGAGCAAATCAAATCTCAGTTTGGGGAGAAGTTCTCAACAATCGAAGGAAGACTTTCATCCATGGAAGGAAGGCTCTCATCTATAGAGAACCACTTTAAAAACTTGGAAGGATAATGAAGAAAATGATCGAGATGCAGTTGAAAGCTTCCGAATTAAAGAGAAAGAAAATTCTGGAGGAGATGATGAGAAAGCTCACGAAGATACGATCTAAGACCCCACTGACGGTTTCAATTAGTAACCCTAACCAAGATTTGATCGGATTCCCTTGGCCGAATCTAAGGGAAAGGAGATTAGACGGAAGGGGTTCGACGAGGAGAGTTTTGTCCATCGAAAGCCTCCTCTTAGGGCTCCGATAAAGGGTGGATATGGGTTTCCATAAGGGGAGACAACAAGGAGGGAATTGTATAATGGAGGTGTTGGAGTGGCCGACCATTATGGGAGGCATTTTTGGGCAAGTGGAGTGGATGACCGGAGATGGAGGGGGTGGAGGTGAACCATGGGATCATGTCATGCAAGAATGGATGAAAGAAAGGTTGGAGTCCCACCCTCAATACACAGGGAAACATGGAGGGATTGTGACAACCACTACACTGGAGGAGAAAGAAGCTATTGGAGTGGTAGCGATCCTAGAGTGATGAAGTTGACGATCACAATATTCGAAAGGGAGGATGCCTATGGGTGGGTGTACCAGGTGGAAATGTATTTTAAAGTGAATAGGTTGAATGAGGAGAAGTTTACGACTGCAGGGCTATGTCTGGAGGGTGAAGCTCTAGCTTGGTTATAGTGGACGATAGCATGGCCACTAACTAAGCAGTTGAAGAAAGCCATGAGCAATGTCCCATCCTTCCACCTTGAGGATAGTGTGCGTCTTTGGAGGGGAAGTATTGTTACAACGACCGACCCAACAGGCTGGACCGATCGGCCCAACAGGCAGTGGAGGGGGTGAAACTTGGAACCAAATCCAGGGAGATTCCGGCCCCTCTTGTAGGGCTCAACAAAGTATAATTCATTATGTTAGGAGGGTAATTAATGAGGGAATTAATTAGTGAAATATATCCTATTTGAATTCAAATAGGAGAGGGAAATTTCTAAGGAAAAAAGGCTAATTTGGAAGGGATTAATTATGGGATGTTTTCTAATTAAAGATGACTGATTTGGAGGAGATTAATTAGCTGTTTCTTAATCAAAGATGATAGATTTGAGGGCTGATTTGGAGGAGATTAATTAGGAGATGTTTCCTAGTTGAAGAGGGCAGATTTGGGGGCATATTTGGGGGAGGGCTGTTTTGATATTTGTTTTTTATTGTTTGCTATAAGTACGAGAGTTTATGCTATGTTTTGGATGGAGATTTTTATTTGAGAGTTGCTAGTTTTCTTTATGAGGGCTTCCTAGCAGCGTCTAGGTTATTTGGGAGAGTCAATCCACCTCTCAAATTATAGATCACATGTATCTTGTTTTTCATATTGAAGTTAAAATCCAAAAATTAGCCATCGTTTTCAATTTATGCTGTTTTTATTATATTTTCTTGATGATTTCATCCTCAAGGCAAACCAGTGACCATTTGGACGAGGCTAAGGTTGTCAAGGATGTCGCCAACCAACAATATTTTGAACAGCGAAAAGTGGTTTGTGATACATAATTGTAACAAATAGATTTGAAATGAGAGACAACATAGGGATGATTGAAAATACCACATTGATAACAATAGTGGTAAAGATGATTAGTTGCCTCTGGTAGACTTTTATAGCGTCAAGGATAATAAAGAAAAAGTTTAGCATTAAAATATAGGGACATTGATAGGAAACACTTGTAGAACTCAAGTGGAACTTATCAATTTTAGTATTTCAACAATATTTCACCATAAAACTCCAACAAGTCCAAGAGAAAAACAGCAAAACGAGATGATAATTGATGAGAAACAAAAGGAAAACACCAAGATACAGTTGATTCTCAATTCAAGAGGATGATCTATCTCACCCAACATGCCGCTAGAGCCCAAGAACAAGCACAAACCAAAACCAGCAAAGACAAGATAATATTAACACTAATTCTCCCCCTTTACTTAAAGCAAATCAAATACTAAAGCAAAAGGACAAAACAGCTCATGAAACCCTAAATCCTCCCTAACCGCCCCCTCCTTGCCATCAATTTTCATATAGCGGGGGTCCTACTGTAGCTTGGGCGGACCCTTGTTCGTCTTTGAGTAAACAACGGTTGGCCCCTTGCCTAAGGCCGACTGAACCGGTCCATTATGGACCGACAATCTAACAGACACCTAAAAGTAGGGGAAAAATTCAATCTTTTATTCTGATTCAATTGATCAAATACAAGATAAAAATATTCTATTTGCAGAAATCGAGATAGGGGTTACAAGATATAATTTAATTTATTCCTAATCCTCCTTAAACATAGATAATTCTAAACCCTTAACCAAATTTGTTCCAATAATAACTAAAATTAATTTAATTATAATAATTAAAAACTTCTATTCTTGAAATATTTCTTAAACCTAACTTCTTCTAATGCATCACTTGTGCCTAGTTTTTTTAAATAATAATTGTTGGGCCTTCTGTGAGACATGACAATACTTTTTTTTTTCTTCCCGCTATATCATTCCCTTATCATATTAAGAGTTTTTTTTTATAATTTTTCACAAGACTGGTTTATTGTTTGATATTAATTTTTGCATTTTGACGTTGCAATTAGTTTAATAATGCAACGAAATTATTGATATGCCGTCATCCTTAAATTGCTTTAGCTGTACTATAGGTCCTTGAATTTAAAGAGGTTTTAGATATTTTCTTCAACTGAAACTAAATTTAAGTTTTGAATTGCATCAATATTAGGCAGAAATTGAACTTGAAGATGGCTGGTTCTATTGACTTATATGAAAGTGATTTTGCATTTAATTTACTTCAAACGTCTATATGGATGCCTTTTTAGCAATTTCCTTAATAGGCAGATGTCCTTTTGGGCATTCCTGCCACATCTACACCAGGGTAGCATAAGCACTTTTTAGTTTATACCAACGTTGTCTATCACAAAAGCACAATGCGATAGAGTTCTTCTGTTCTGACATGAAAGTTCATTTCCCTAAATGTCTGACAATCATTACATTACTGAGGTCCACGTTACATAAAAAATGGCAATAGCTGCCATTGCCAGCACAAACCGCCTGGAAAGCTATCAATCATCGAGTTTCCTGTCCACTGATTGCAATTATTCCCATTTTAGGAGAGCTGGGGCCAAGAAAACAACTTGTTACTGATGAATGATTAAGGCCCAAACTAAATATTTGAAGACATAAAAGGCATGCTCACGTAGAGCTAGGAGACAAGAAAGGGGGATTCTTAGAGCCAATTCAAAAGAACTTTTGACCTAAATAACAACCTTATGTGTTGCTAATGAAGAAACTGTAGTCCTCGTAAAGTGCCACGAGTTGAATATTGAACCAAGTGGATGGGTAGAATGGGTTTATTTTTGGCTTGGCTGGAGTACTGAATTAGGAGGAACACTATATGTATGTTAATTATGGAAATTCATGTATTTTGTTTTGTTTTAGGAATTGGAACATAAGTTTTAGGGTTTAGGATGTAATTTTCTCATTATTTGGCTTTTTCCCCCAATATATATATATATTTGGCTTTTTAGAATTTTGTCATATTTTTGTCTGACTATCGCTTTTTTATTTTTTATTTTTTATTTTTGAAAATTTTTTTGGTGGGAAGCAGGGGCGGAACCAGCCTTAATTTTTAGAGGGGGAGGGGGCAAACTTATAAGTAAAAGTGCAGAGATTTTTTTTCATAAATATCCTAATAACCAAAATTTGTTTCGAGGGTGCTGTCTCTCGACCCCTATTTGTTCATATCCTTGATCGTTGTATGCTTCGCAGACATGTCAGGGTCGCGGGGTCAAGGAACAAATTTTGGTTGTAAGGAGATTTTTGGATTCTCTTTACTATTTCTCTTTGTATTTGGTTCATCGTTCCCTAACAATAATATCTCTACATAATGTGTTTAATTAAGTTGCGACAATTGTCTAAAGACCATAGCATTTTAAAACTTTTAGGGGGGCAATTGTCTAAAAACCCTTCTAATAAAGACTAAAAAATACATTGAGGGGGACAAATTATCTAAAGATTTTATAAGAAAATTAATGTTATATTTCAAAAAAAAATTCTAATAATAAATTTAAAAGAATTTACTTTCCTTGTAACAGCTTTACAATCATCCTTAGAAAGCATTACAACCACTCTAAATGGTTTGCATCGACGATCTAAAGCTTGTTGTTATTTCCAATATTTTGTGATCAGGTACTTGATAGCCTCTCACACAACTGATTACCAACACCCGATGCTTTTCCTCAACACGGTCGCTGTGTTCGTGCTAGTCATTGCCAAGTTTCCGAACATGCACAAGGTCCGAATTTTCGGGATTAATGCTGGCCATTGAGCCGGCCGGCAGGAAACATGGAACAAACGATTCATCTCCTCAGTCAAGTTCACACTCTATTTGCGGTACTTGTTTGTATAAATCTCTGCAACATAGAACTATGGTATGCTTCAGTAGACTCCACCTTCTGTTTCTTTTGCTTGGTCTCAACGTACGGTTTCATATTCTCTCCAATTATCATATCAATTTATATGTATTGTATCTGCGAAGAAGGTGCTGTGGATCTTACAAAATTTTATCTTTATAATGATTTTTTTTATTCTCATGATGTTGGTTGCCAAATATCTTTTGTCGAATTAATTATTCTATACGGACGTCGAATGCTGTCCGGAGACCAACCAGAATGCGTCACGTCATCCTTTCGTTGGGTATTGTGGCTCGTTATTGCTCAATATCGTACTGCGGCTCGATACTACTGACGTGACCCATTTTAATTGGTCTCTAGATGATGTTTTACTTCCGGACTCTGAACATAATAATTTCTCCTTTAGTCGTGCCTTGTAGTGAAGGTTTTGCACGCACACAGACATAAATAAGCAAAACATTTAGTCAAGATGTCTGTACTTGGTGGCCAACCGCTCAGAATTGAACAGAGCTTGGCTTGTTCCATCAAAATTATACGAACAAAATTCAGGTAAAATTATTCACATTCGTTCTTTTATTATTGTGTATTGATCTGATTTCTAAAATTTTTTGGTTCAGTTTAAAGTAATTTTTAAAACTCCAAAACACTCAAATTTATAACTCAATTTCTTGAAATTAATTTCAATATAACAAAAACTTAATTGTAGTTCAGGTAATTATCTCTTCAAATTATTAATAAAAGCGTCTATAATTCAAATGGTTATCCCATCTAGATAATTGTAGGAAGTCTATGGGTTCATTGGGAGCTACTTGCTCAAGGACGGTTTTTTTACTAATTTCTAAAACGGAGTTTTAATACAAAAATAAAAAAAATTGTACTAAAATTCTGTTTTAGAAAGCAATAAAAAAGTCGTCCCAAACGAAGCCTAAGAAAATTAGTTTCCTCTTTATACTTATACAACTAATTTTTTGAAAACATATTGAGTTAATACTACTGCCTACTATCTCATCATCTCCTCAGGGCCTCAATTGTTTTATTGCATAAATATGATAAGAGGCATAACAGGATTGGGCATTGTAAGCTATGCCATGACACTCTACTAACTCATAATTTTATTGCTTGGAAGATCCACTTGAAGGGAAAATTATTCTGTGTGGACGTCGGATGATATCCGGAGATCAATCAAATCATGTCACGTCAATTTTTTGCTCCGTATCGATGCTCGGTGCCTCTGTGTAGTGTGTGATGTAACGCGTTCTGATTGGTTTCCGGACCGTCCGATGTCCGTACATAATAATTTCTCCACCTGAAGAGTCCTCTTATGCAAATGTTTGACTTTATGCATGTCTGAATTGATTGTACAAATCCTATAAAAGATAAACATTACCAAAGATACATAATTTTAATTAATTAGCACTTTTATCATAATATTTTTATACTTACAAAAATGCATCATGATTTGCTATTGAGAAAATGCGTATCTGACCATGTAATTTTAAAAAGAAAAAAAATCTTACAAAAACTACTTCACAAAAAATTGAAAATTTTAGGATGAATTTAAAATCATAATCTGTTAGAGGGCAATGATGTAATTTACCTTCAGATCCATAGAGAAATTGGGTAGACCGAGCCAAAATAGAGTGAAGGGGGAAGGCAATGGAGGCAAGGAGGTGTTAGGACAAGAAAGGGGAGCAATAAAGAAGGGGGCTCATGGGAACAATAGAAGTATGATATTTTAGCCTAAAAAAATTAAAAATTCCTTTGGTATTTACCCATCATATTTTTTCCTATTAATAATAGTGACAGCACTGTCCTGTTTTTTTGTATTGGTCATAGTAAAGGTCAGAGGCAAAAATATAAAGGATAAAAGATATAGGTTAAATCCAAATCTTTGCCATTGATATTGATAATAGGTCATTAATCTCATTGCAAATAGTTGGTGTTTCAATAGTGAGAGATAAATAAAATGTTAAATATATTATTTTTTCTTTATAAGAAGTAATAGCCTTTTTTTTTAATATCTATCAACATTTCATCTTCGAGAACATTTTAAAAACATCAACTTCCACCGACATTCTAGTAAAAAAGGGGGAAGTTTAAAGATGTTGATGGAATATCCACCTATATAGGGTTGCCAAAAATTGGAGAAATTATTCTGTGCGGAGACCGGACGTAGAACGTCGTTCGGAGATTAACTAGAATGTGTCACTTCAGCGGTACTGAGTCGTAGTAGTGAGCAGTATCGAGCCGCGGTACTGAGCGAAGGGGTGATGTGGCGTATTCTGGTTGGTCTCCGAACAACGTTCAACATCCGCACAGAATAATTAATCCAAAAATTGAGCTCAAAGAAAGTATGATCACTTTGTCAAAGAGATGAACTTTCATGTGAGGATATCTTATCCAAATCAACCAAATGGAGAATTCATTAGTTAAGTTAAAAATTTTGATCATTTTGACATCCTCATACAGAAATTCATCAATAGGGACATTGTGGCCCGTAGGAATTACTTTGACATCAATTAATAAGGGAACACTCAACATCAAAAGATCCATCGAAGGAGGAGGTCCATATATGAGAGTCATAGTGGAAAAGACCTAAATCATGGCCATGCATAATTGAGGCCAATGCCCTAAGGAGTCAACGTCATAGGCTAGAGAAGACAATTGTGAGCAGAAAAGAACAGCTAGGGCCGCGGTCACTAGGAACTTGAGCCGAACCATCAATAGCGATATCGTGGCCCATAGGAATTACTTTAACATCAATTAATAAGGGAGCAATCAACATTAAAAGATTTATAGAAGGAGGATATCCATATATGAGTTATAATGGAAAAGAATTAAATCATGGCCATAATTGAGGTCAATGCCCTAAGGTGTCAACGTCGTAGGCTAGATAAGACAATTGTGAGCAGTAAGAGAAGAACTAGGGTTCTTGTCACTAAACCCTTGAGGATGGAAAGATGTGAACCACTATCACAGGCCAAGGAGAAGATTCCATGCAATGCGGCATGAAGGATGCCTTGATTTATGATATGCTACTAAAATGATTTCTTATTTTAATATGAGGCACATATTGGGCATATTCTTTGGAAATAATTAATTCCGTCAACCTCAAGATATTAAAACATGTTTTAATTTTTTATTTTCTATAATTTATGAAGTCAAGATTTTATGTTGATTTTTTTTATATACATACATCTTCAATTGAGTGATAGATCATTATAAACTTAATTAGTTTAAATATGTGTTTAATTTAAGCAATTAAAATGGTAATTAGCTCCAATAAAATGTAACTAAGTTGAAAGCATTAATGTTTGTTTTTTATTTGTCACATCATCTATAGAATATTAATAATGACTAATTTACTACTACTATATATTGTCAATAATGATGAACATCAAACAAATAATTGCTCATAACAAAGTAAGAATAAATTAGCAGTAGTGGTAATATTTTGTCATTAGTGATAGTCAAACTAAATAGAAATTGTTAGGATAAAAAATTTGAGTTAGGTAAATCTTATAACAAATATATTTATTTTAAGATAAATTTAATAGAAAAATTGATTATAATCATCTCAAAATAAATTTGATAATTATAAAATTAATTATAATTACAATTAAGAAAAAATATTCTTACTCAATTTTCTCTAATTATCATATAAAAATATAGATTAATATAAAGATAATTAAGTCACCATTGATATCTGAATTAAAGGCTGCGGTAAGAAGTCGTTTTCCATGAGAATGTCAAGATTTTATCCCTCCTAATTTTCAACTTTTTCATCTTTGATTTACCACCTCAATAATTATGCCTAGCTAAAAATATTTAATTAATGAAATTTCAATAATTAAATTTATATAATTATATAATTAAATCGCATTTTATGTTAGTGAGAATCATTATAGTATTAGATCAGAAATACTAATTACTTAAGGTGGTGATTTTTTTTTGTAATAATTGCTATGATTTTACCAATTGATAAATACAAAAAAATCCTCGTGCACAAATAATATAAAAAATGGTATAAATTCATAAAAATATCTTTCCTAGAAAATATATAGAGCATTTGATAATTAATAAAATTAATAAAAAAAAGTAAACACATTTATTAAAATTTTCTTATCTAAAATATTATTGTTTTAATTACAATTTTATGTAATTATGTAAGTGTGTGTTATGATTTAAGTATATCATGCACACAAAACCTTCCAAATGTGCTTCGGGTTTTTGATTTGAAACTATTTGAGCTCGGATTAGGTTGATTTTGGTGTCGTTGTGTTCGTATTTTTGAGACCTTTTATTCGACTTTAAGTTCACCAAAATTGGAGTTTATATGGTTTTAGATTTAATTTTTGAAATTCCTAACTTGATTTAGCTTTGAGATTTGTGCCCAATCAAGAAAATTCTTTGATCATATATCAAGTACAAAATTTAACTAATATTAAAATATTATCATATAAAGGTTGATAGATTAAATATTAGGTTAAATTATTTTAAAAATAAATTAATTTAATTGATTAAATTTAATATTGAATATAAGTTTATTAAATAAAGGAATATTTTAAAAATAAATTATTAGTCAAATGTTTTAGTTTTTTTATCATTTATCTAATATAATTTTAAATTATATTTATATTTAAGTTAATTAAAATTACATCATAATTTTAAATTAAATTTATATTTCTGCTTTGATTGAATTAAAAGTAATATGAAGAGAGAATTATATGGTTTGTAAAATTTCTGCCTGTAAACATTTACTCATTTAAAAATTGTTTCTCTCTCTGCATTTACTCTTTTCAGTTTTTACTGTTTGAATTTTAAGCAAAACGCACAAAAGAAATGTGTTTTTTTTTTTACTTTTTTATGGAAACGCATAGGGCAACCGCATTTTCCCTAAAAACGTCTTTATGCATTGCTTTTTTGGCAAAACGAGCTACCCTTTCACGTTTTTGATCCTTTTTAAATTTTAATTATAATGTGTTTCTTCTCCTAATTTATAAAAAATTATCCTTATAAAAAAGTGATTGACTTTATGAAAATAAAGATTTTTGTTTTTATATTTGTATTAGTAAAACCGAAGTTAAAAGGGCTTTAAAGAAATGAAGTATAAAAAAAGCTATTAGACTTGATGATATCCCAATAGAGGTGTGGAAATGCTTAGGAGATGAAAGAATTTTTTG